ATTAATGTCTTTAACATGATAAGAGTACCATTCTTACAAATGATAATTTATCATGATTTTGTAATGATAAATTTAAATGTTTTTCATTGGTACAAATGACAGTTTTTAACCAAATTTTAAATTTAACTTAGGGGTTAGTGAGAAATTGGTTTATGGCCACAAAGAATGATTACATTTTGTAATGATGAATATGCTAATTATCCTGATTTAATCATCAATATTGTACACAAGTATTTATTGATAGTCAACTCCGTACCCCACAAGTATGTAAAATCAATTATGTTTCAATAATTTAAAAAAATCTTGCATAATAGAATTTTAGATTATTTAAAAAAATGAAATTTAACTCAGGAAAGAAGTCTTAAGGTTCCACACAGATTTTACTTTGAAGATGCAAATAATCATATGAAATGATTTCCTTCCTAGTCATTGATTATTTGCATTGATAATATATTGAGGGATTTACTCGTTCATAACTGATTCCTAAACTTCCTGATTTTTAGTTTGAAGAATAGGAATTGCATCAGTGTCGTTAATTAAGAGATCGGGTCTATGTTTAGTGGAAATATAAACTTTGATTCTGTTCTGAAATTATAAAAAATTGACTGTACAGCCAATATTTTAATGCAGAATTAGCTAAATCATTTAAGCAAATGTCTCATCAAAATGTAAATTCTGTTGAGGACTTCTGCAATATTTTCTCCTTCCTAATTAATTGGCAAGCTCTAACTCTCAGGGTGCTGGTGTGGAGCCTCTAGGGTCTCCACACGGAGAGCCAGGCTGTGCTGAGAATGGCAAAGTCCTTCAAGAAGGATCAGAGAAAGAGGCTGTTTGGTTCTTGACTCATGTGATTCCTTGGTATTCCAGATTTCTAGCTTTTGGAGGGAACTATCTCTCCTGCCATACTCTCCCAACCCAACTAGGGCCCACTGCATGACCAGATGTCATGAGTGTTAGGTTCAGTGAGATGGAGAAAAGGGAGAGAGAGACCCGAGCCAGGTGCTATTTCAGCCAAAAAGCTTTATTCCACTAACGTGGAGGGGAGACTGAGTCAGATCAGTTCCCCCAAACCAGGGAAAGCAGGAGGTTTATAAAACTTTTAGGGAGGATTTTGACAGAGTAATGGGCAATTTCAAAATCAGTGGTATGCAAGGTGACACAGCCCTTGTGTTCCAATAACATCTGGTCAGTTAAGGCATGGGCTCCTGATTAGCCACTATCTCAGTACAAAGCATTCCAGCCCAAAGCTTGCTAAATGCAGCCCACAAGACGTTGCTTTGATGATAACGGTCATGTTTACCCCTTCCCAGGAGAGGAATCTCAGTTCCCAGAGAAGAAAGGGAAAGGGGGAAGAAAGGTCGAAATCCACTCAATATGGCTGCGCTGAAGCTAAGCCAGGCATGAGACTCAGTAATGAGAGGGAGTATTTCTGCCCTCATCTGCCGTTCTCGTCGTTGCTATGTTTTTCTGTAGAGTGCTTTGTTTTTTTGTTTTGCTTTGTGTTTGGAAGCGGTAGATGTTGGTAGAGTGGAGAAATGTGTGGGAAGGCTGACAAACAAGTGGAGGATGAAGGAAATAGATTTTGAGTGAATGTGGATGTGGATGATACGGCTAATATTTTCTTCGAAGAGA